TTTTTATTTTGGTGACCCTCTGTCACATGTCTTTCAAGGCCAATGTCTTCTTGCGGAGGTGTGGTGCCAAAAGCTTCACCAATATCTGCATAACCAGGTTTTCATATATAAGCAGGGTATACGTTCCAAACTTCTTTCTGTATGCAATATGTGAAATGTGGCCTGACTGGGCTACAAGGGGATGTTCTGTTTGTTGACATCACTGTACACTACATTATGTTTTTGTGGTGTCGTTGGCAATTGTTTTTGTTACTCATCTAGCTGAGGGGCACAAATAGTTAACTGTGTCAAGCACAGAGTGAAGTAAAAACCCAGCCAAGTATGTCAGAGGAAGCCAATCCACCCAACCTTTCCATTGAAAGGCCTCATTGATTGCCCACAATTCTGACTGTGGGATCTCCTATGGCTACACACCTATAGAAAAGTACTGACCCTACAAAAGTAGTAGTATTGGCTGTAAAGTATGGAATATTCTGAGGTTATGGAAGGTCCTAAAAATAACACAAGTCCTTTCTCTAAGTGCGAAATCTTAGGGGAGAACATCTGGCACTGAGGATGCCATCTAGAGTCTTTCTGCCAAAGTACAATTAGGTGGTGGCCTGAGAGTAACGTGAATATTGCAGCTGCTCCTGCTTATTTCTAACTCAATTATAGTTATTACATTTCCGTCATTTAAGATTTTTGATTCTTTTTGGATTTTTAATATTAAAAAAAAGGCACATTTTAAAACAGAGTTGTACTTTCAGAGCTCTTGGAGAAGCCTACACGTTGATGTCTCAAACTTTTTATTTTACTTAAAAAAATGCGTAGAAGGAGAGTGTTTTTAAACTTCAATTGAAATTGCAGAGGACAGCTTTTTTGCTAAACAGAGTCATGTTTATGTTTGGAGAAGCCTTCCTGTTGTTGGCTCTGGAGAATTTTTTTTATTATATCCAAGGATTTAAAGCTATCTGCTGGACTACATGAGAAGTCATTTTTAATTCAATTGTTCAGCTAAGTAGTTGATTTTATTTAAGATTTATATGATTGTTTTTTTTGCATTCACAATATTAAATTTTTGTGGGTAAGGAAAGATCATTTATTTTATATATAAGGTGCTAATAACTTTTTATGCTTAATGTCAGCAGGCATATGCAGTAACACAGAGTGAGATGGCTAGTGTATTTAGAGAAATGATTACACAGCGGGATGAGTCAGATAGATGGGTGACTGTCAGGAGGGGTAAGAAGGCAGTTCAGAACTCTCCTGTGGCTATTCCTCTCTCAAACAGATATTCAGTTTTGGGTACCATTGAAAGGGATGGTCTGCCAGAGGGAAATAGAAGTGGCAGTCTGAACTTGGGCACTAAGCATGAATCTGATGCGCGGGCGGGTGTTGACAAAATTTAAAAGAATGCTTGTTACAGGGGACTTTCCTGTCAAAGGCACAGACAGGAGATTCTATGGCAGTGAGTGTGTATTTAGGATTGTATGGTGCTTTCCTACTGCCAGGATTAAGGATGTTTCAAAATATTAACGTATTAAATTGCATTTATTTCAATGCAAGGGATCTTGTAGGTAAGGCTGATGAACTCAAGGGCATGTTTGGGAACATGGGATTGAGACGTCATAGCTATTACAGAAATTTGGCTGAGGAATGCATGGGACTGCCAGCTCAATGTTCTGGGTTTTAGTTGTTATAGGAAGAATAGAATGGGAGGCAGGGGGTGGGGGGAATGTGGTTTTTTTGATCAAGGAAAACATTACTATTGTATCTGGTAAAGATATTTCTGAAAAATCCTCCAGTGAAAGTATATGGGTTGAAATTAGAAATAAGAAAGGAATAAACACCTTGGTGGGTTTGTATTACAGGCCTCCCTGATAGTCAGAGGGAAATCAGGGAAAAAAATAGTAGAGCTCTCTCAGATCTATGAAAGAATAATAGGGTTGTAATTATAGGGGATTTTAATTTTCTAAACATTGACTGGGGCTGGCATAGTGTTAAAGGTCTGGATGGTGAAGAATTTGTTAAATGCGTTCAAGAAAATTTTCCTTATCAATATGTAAATGTTGCTACTAGAGAAGGAGCAAAACTTGACCTTCTCTTGGGTAATAAGGCAGGGCTAGTGACAGAGGTGACAGTAGGGGAACACTTAGGGCTTTGTGATCATAATTCTATTAGTTTTAAAAGATGTTCATGCAAAAGGATAAGCCTTCCATAAAAGTTAACATTTTTAATTGGAGTAAGGCAAATTTTATTGGTATGAGACAAGAACTTTCAAAAGTTGATTGGAGTATAGACTGTTCGCAGGTAAAGGGGCATCTGATAAGTCGGAGGCTTCCAGAAGTGTGATAATGAGAGTTCAGAGTCATTATGTTCCTGTTAGAGTGAAAGGCTAGGCTGAGAGGATTCGGAAACAACGGATGAAAAAGATATTGAGATTCTAGTAAAGAATAAAAAAAAAATTAGAAATAGCCAACTAGGTTCAAATGAATCTCTTAAGAGTATAAGGGATGTAGGAGCATTCTTATGAGGAAATCAGGAAAGCAAAGAGAGGATATGAGGTAGCCTCCGCAGATAAGGTTAGGGATAATCCAAAGAGCTTCTACAAGTACATTAAGAGTGAGAGCAACTAGAGAATGTGTGCAGGGCACCTTAAAGATCAATGAGGTTGTCGTTGCATCGAACCTCATGAGATCGGAGAGATATTGAATGAATATTTCACTCCAGCATTTACTGTGGAGAAAGGAATGGAGCCTAGAGAATGCGGGGAAATAAATATTGATGTTTTGAAAACAGCTCACACCTCAGAAGAGGAAGTGCTGGAGGTCTTAGGAAATATAAAGGTCGACAAACCGCCAGGATCTGATCAAGTGTATCTCAGGATGTTGTGGGAAATTAGGAAGGAAGTTGTGGAGCCCCTAGCAGAAATACTTGTATCAGTGAGGTGCCAGAGAGAGGCTAACATTGCGCTTCTGTTCAAAAAGGGATGCAAGGAGAAACCTGGCAACTATAAGCCTTTGAGTCTGACTTTGGTGGTAAGTTATTGGAGGGGATTCTGAAAGATAGAATTTATATGGATTTTTTGAGAGGTAAGGAACGATCAGGGATAGTCAGCATGGTTGTGTGTGAGGGAAATAGTGTCTCACAAAATTAAGTTTTTTTGATAAAGTAACCAAAAAGATTAATGAGGGCAGAGCAGTAGACTTTGTTTATTAGGACTTTATTACTCATGCGGAACCTTGTCTAGAGACAAAAAAAAACAAAAACTGCAGATGCTGGAATCCAAGGGAGACAAACAGGAGGCTGGAAGAACACAGGAAGGCAGGGCAGCATCCGGAGGAAAGGAGCACTGAACATTTTGGGTATTATCCTTCTTCAGCCATTACACCCAAAACATTGACTGTTCCTTTCCTCCAGATGCTGCCCTGGCTTGCTGTGTTCTTCCAGCCTCCTGTTCGTCCGCATTAGTAATGTCACTTGTAAAGTTAGATCACGTGGGATTCAGGGTGAGCTTGCCAACTGGATACAAAATTGCTTAATACCAGGACACAGTGGAGGGAGGCAGGCAGGCAGGTAGAACTAGTTTAGTTTGGGATTATGATCAGTGTAGACCATCTAGACTGGAAAGGTCTGTTTCCGCACCATGACTCTACAACGAAGGTCCGTTCAGTTGTCAGACCCTCTTGGTGTCTTAAAATTAATGTTGTTTCCTACAGAAATGCCTGTCATTTTTGCAACTGCAGAGAAAAATCTGAGAAGTGTCAAAATTTCAATGTTTTATTTTCTTTTCTACAGAAAACAGTAGAGTACTGATTTAGAAGCTTTGTGCTCACTTACTTTTATAAATAAAGTATACTTTTGAAAGATGATGATTCTGGGCATAGGGTGGGCAGAATATTCTCAACCAGACACAAGGTTGAAATAGAGATAGTAGGAACTGCAGATGTTGGAAAATTTCTGATAAAGAGTCTAGGCCCGAAACGTCAGCCTTCCTGCTCGGCCTGCTGTGTTCATCCAGCTCTACACCTTGTTACCACAAGGTTGAAATAGTAGGGTAGTCAGGGTTTACATCTCTGGGCAGGTAGGACGCTCCCAGCTCTTACTGAAGTGGAGAATTCAGGCTGGGTGACAAGGGTTTGAAATGCAAAGATAGACCACCAAAAGGGCAGACAGCACCAGTCACTCCAAACTCCAGGCAGGTGGAAATGCCTTTTGAACAGGGAAAGAATTGCACAGACAAATTTCACTTGGTTCCTTGTATGCATTTCAATTAGCTCAGCATGGCTTGAGGTTCAGTCCCGCATACATTGTTATTCGAGTTTGATGTGTTCAAACTTTATGCCAAAGGCTGAAGCACATACAGTCCATGCAGACCCTCCAGTGTAATGCGGAGAGTGTGGCACTGTAAGAGGGCTCATCTTTTGGATGGGACATTTAAACAGAGGCTTGGATTAATTCCCACCAAACCCCATGGCTTAAAGTTGAAAACCCCTATTTTCGCATTGTAGTGCCGCAGAGCTGAACAATTTGCCTATTGTCCAGATTTCCCTCTTGTCCCTGTACTATAAGGCGATGTTGACAGTCATTCGCAGATTGTGGGATCCTGCAGTGTGGTCTTGTTGCTGTGCTCCCTGCGTTATCAGGATGACTTTATGTCAATAAGTGTTGTGGATGCTCGGTAACTATGAGATGAGCTGTTTAGACCATTCTTTCGAATTCACCCCATTCCTTCATACATATCTACAGAGGTCTTGCAAAAACTGGAACAGACATTGCAAGTGTTGCACTGATTGCATGAGTGCATTATAGACTCAGAGACATACAGCACAGAAACAGGCCCTTTGGCCCACCATGTCTATACCAACCAACAAACATGAAACAACACAAATCCCTTTTTTAATTTGCTCATGGGATGTGGGCAGCACTGGCTAGGCCAGCATTCATTGCCCACCCCTAATTCACCCGCACTTGATCCATAGCTAACTGTGCAGCATTTCAGAGAAAGACATGACAAGCAATGGGCAGCATGTGTCCTTTTAATAAAATTGATAAAATGTAAGTTGTAGACAGTGTCTTATAAAGAATATCCCCCAAGCAAATCAGGTACTGTCAGATGAGTGAATGTAACCCCTCTTTCACTGTGTCTGTAGATTATGATTGAACTAAAATACACTACGTTTTTTTTTAGAAAGAAAAGTTAAAAAAGGGACAGAAATTGTATTGGTCAAAACAAGCCTCAGCAGCATCGAAGTCTCCCACAGTCCTCTGGAAAGAAACCAGATACTAGGATTGTCTTTGTGCAAACTGTCGCCTGTCCCCCTCCTTGCCCCCCCACTCTCATCATCACATATCCCTCTCATATGGTCACACCCTTCTACACTTTCCTACTTTCCACCCCCTCCCTCACTCCATTTGCCCAATCTCTCTCTCCATTTAGCTCAACCCCCCACCCTGCCTCTCTCGCTCTCCCCCACTTCGGGCCTGTAGGCTGCAGTCTGGAAGTCAGGGTCTAGATGGAAGCAGATACCAGTGCTTTACTCGATCATGATGTGGACAAACAGTGATGCCGAAGGAAGGGGGTCTCCGCTCTCCGACAGGAGGTGAATGTGTCGATAGCCTGCAGACAGCAAACAAAATGAGGAAATCCCTGTCAGAGACAATCACCGTACCCCACCCCATCACAATTGCCCCCTCCAGACTCCCACCCTCTCACCATTGACTCCTCCAGACCCCATCACGCCCTCCCACCCCTCTCCTGCTGTGCCCAGATGATTCTGACCTCAAAGTGAATTGGCCAAATAGTAGAAGAGGAGAAAGGGATGCTGGGCTTTCAGGGGCAAGTTGAAGATTGATCTATCTTTCCAAAGATCGAAAACAGCAAAAAGCCAAATGACCTTTCTTCGGTCATAGAATCATACAGTGCAGTACAGGAGAGGCCCTTCAGCTCATCGAGTCTGTACCATCAAAAGTATACGCCTGCTTACACTCATTCCCTCTCTCCCACTTGGCCCATAGTCTTGAATGTTATGACACTGAGTGCTCATCCAAGTACTTGTTAGAAGATTGAGGTTTCCCACCTTAACTACCTTCCCAGGCAGTGCATCTCAGACGACCTTCTGCGCTGTTCAATTCCATGCAAGTGAAATAATTTGGCAAGGTGGGAAATTCTTCAGATATGAGATTCCCTCCTTGTATTGGAATCCTTCCTATTCCCAGCCCTCATGTTTGGCTTCAGTTTCAGGCGTAGGAGGCAGCAGTAGCTGGCATGAATCAGACCAGTTTGGTACCAGAGGGTAACTGAGTGCCACAGTGCCAGTGAGTGATGCCAGGCAATTCTCCACACAAACCCCTGGGAACCTGAGACAGCAGGCTGTGTGGTTTGGCTCTGCAGGCAAAGATAGGGGAGGCAGGCTGTGGTCGGTCTTTCCAAAATAGGGCCCCGCTACACACTTTACCTAGTTTCAAGCTTGTGAAGGGCAGCGTGAACTGTCCGATAAAGTCATTCTTGGATGACATGTCGTAGTCCTGCACCACAAACCGCACAAGAGTCAGCTCAGGGATGTTAATGTCAAACTGGAAGGTAGTGTTCCACATGGGGCTGAATCCTGAATGGACAGAAAAAAAAAATGGAAGAGCACACAACAGTTGTTTACAGAGATAAACCGGCGTTTGAATCTCACCATCATATTTCAAAGTTTAAATAAAATTTGTAAATGCCAAAAAAAAAAGACACACCATGGCATGAGTAAAAAGGTGAACATGAAGTTGTCTGACTGTCATATAAACTCCATATGGTCATCGACTGGATCTTTGGTGAAGAGAATCTGACTTTCTGATCTCAGCCGTGATCTAACCTCATACTGCCCTGACCTCTGAAGAGGTCGGAACAAAAACAAAAGTTGCTGGAAACGTTCAGCAGGTCTGGCAGCATCTGTGAAGGAGAAAACAGAGTTAACGTTTCGGGTCCGGTGACCCTTCCTCAATTCTGAGGGTCACCAGACCCAAAACGTTAACTCTGTATTCTCCTTCACAGATGCTGCCAGACCTGCTGAGCTTTTCCAGCAACTTTTGTTTTTGTTCCTGATTTACAGCATCCACAGTTCTTTCGGTTTTTATTCTGAAGAGGTTGGGCTTAACTGTACAAGACAATTAGGATGGACAGTAAATTCCAGCCTGTGTCTGGCTCTGAGTGAGCGCTGCTGCATATGAAGGGTCTCTACTTAGAGCTGACTGTATAGTGCTGTAAGTAACATACTATTCCAATTAGGAGCAGGAGCATGCCATTTGGCCCTTCTAGCCAGCTGCTGCATTCAGCAAGAACATCAGTGATGTGACTGTGGTCTCAACTTCACTTTGCAGTGTCCCTCTAATAAATTTTATCTCACTCAGCAGTCAAGGACACTGTCCAACTCAGCCTTAAATTTTCAATGACCCAGCCGCTGCACGCAAAGCAGGGAGCGAGCAAGCGAGCGAGCAAACGGGAAGAGAGAAAACTCTCAAAAGAAAAATTTTCCTCATCAGTCTTAAACAGGAGACCCATTATTTATAAACAATGTCCCCTCGTCCTTGCCTTTTCCACAAGAGGAAACATACTCTCAAGCACCCCCTTTCCAGTTCCCGCACGGTCTTTTAAGTTTCAATAATATCACTCCTCTTCTTTTAAGCTCCAATGGGTCTGGGCCCAAAGTGTTCTTTCTTCACAACCTTCGTCCGAGGTTCGAGTACAGTGAGCCTTCTCAGAATTGCTAGATGCAACTAAAGGGTCTGGACGTGGTGCTGTACAGTTGGGGTTGTTTGCAATGTTGCTGTAACTACTGTGACCTGCACCCTTACCATTGTTGGAGACGTGTTCTGTTTCTTTCAAATCACTGTCTTCACCAACTCCAAAAACCTCCACCACCACCAGAGGATCCACAACAGACTTCAGTTTCATCCTGTTCGATTTCGGAAGCTGCTGGGCAGAGATAACCTGTGGGGAAACAAAGAGTCAGTGAAGACCAGAGTGAGTCGGTGTTTTAGCAACACATCAGGAGCGTACCGCACTCAAAACATTGATTCTGTCTCTCTCTCTCTGTCTCTATGCACAGATGTTGCCAGATCTGCTGAGTTTCTCCAGCATTTTCTGGTTTTTGTTTTGCATCCAGAACTTCACTTGATGAAATTCTGAATCAGGGATTTCATCTCAACCTGTTCCAGCTGGGCGGGGGCAGAAACCTGCTCCACATTTTCTATCAACCTGGGTCTGGAAATCAGGTAAATTGGTGAATTTTGGGCACTTTCAACCTTTTTTTTTTTAAGTTTTGTGATGACTCTGGAAATAATGGGGCTTGATGTCCAGTGTGTTCCTCCCAGTGAGTGATTACAACATAGTTCTTTCTGAAGCAAGGGTCTTAAATCGGAGCAAAGGAAACTAGGAGCGTATGAGGGAGAAGTTGGATTGGGAAAAATAGTGAAAAATTCCAACACAGACGAGCAGCAGCTAGTATTTAAAGATAAACTACATGGTCTACAACAGATACCCGTTCCTCAAAGTCAGAAACACCCAAAAGAGTAAAGGTACATCACCACAGCCAGTAAAAGTTAAAAGTTACATCAAGTCTGCTCCACTATTCGATCATGGCTGATATGATTCTCAACACCATTCTCCTGCTTTCTTCCCTTAACCCTCGATCTCCTTTCTAATCAAGAACCTATCTATTCCTGTCTTAAACACACAGTCAATGACTTGGTCTTCACAGCCCTCTGTGGTCATTAATTCCACAGATTAACCATCGTCTGGCTGAAGAAATTCATCCTCACACTTATAAAGACAGTCATCTGTTCACTCTGGGGCTGTGGCCTTGGATCTTGCTTATTCCTACTAGTGGAAACATCTTCTCCACTAAGTACAGATCCAATAAAAGTTGGTTTACAGTCTGTTTAAAAAAAAAGAAGCAAATAACTAAAACAAATGGGAGCTCATTACTAGTGTGGACAAGACAATGGGTAACTGGTGGAGAAGCTAAGTAGCTATGGAAGATAAGGAAAATCTCCAAAAATGATGGCAGGCTGTTACCAGTAGGGTACCACAAGGATCAGTGTTAGGTTCATAACCTACACGAACAATGAACAGACTGCAAGGAGGCATTCAGTGGATTTGGGCAGTCTGCGTGAATGGGCTGTGAAGTTATTCACTCTGGTAGTGAAAACTAGGACGGCAAACGCGTGATGGGCTTCACTACACGAAAATTCAAGTACAAGAGTAAAGATGTCTTGCTGCAATTGTACAGGACATTGGTGAGACTTCACAGAATTCCTACAGTGTGGAAACAGGCCCTTCAGCCCAACAAGTCCATACTGATCCTCAGAGCATCCCACCCAGACCCATCCCTCTGTAACCCAGCTAATCTACACATCCCTGAACACTACGGGCAATTTAGCATGGCCAATCCACCTAGCCCGCACACCTTTGGACCGTGGGAGGAAACCGGAGCACCCAGAGGAAATCCACGCAGACACAGGGAGAATGTGCAAACTCACACAGACAGTCTCCTGAGAGTAGAATCGAACCCAGGTCCCTAGCGCTGTGAGGCAGCAGGGCTAACCACTGAGCCACCGAGTACTGTGCGCCGTTTTGGTCTCCTTAAGCCAAGGAGGGATTTACAGGTAGTGCAAGACAGGTTCACCAGATTAACTTCTGGGATGATTGTTTTGAGGAGAGATTGAGACAACTGGATTTATATTCCCCAGAGTTTAAAAATAAGGAGTGATTTCATTGAAATTGAGAATTCTTACAGGACTTGACAGTGCCGATGCAGATGAGATGTTTCCCCCTAGCTGGTGAGTCTAAAACTGATTAGGGGCAGGCCATTTAATACTGAAATTTCTTCACATGGTGGGTGGTGAAACTTTGGAATTCTCTATCCCCGGGGCAAACATTCAGCAAAACCAAGAGGAAAAACAAACAGTAGATTTTTGGCAACTAATGACATCGAAGTGAATGGAGTCAGTGTGGAAAAGTGGCATCCAATGTGGTCTAGAAAGCAACACAGGCAGAACAGCCCACTCCTGTGTTTCTGAAAGTTTTAAGGGATATGGGTCAGAGGTCGCATCAGTCATTGAATGGTCAAATTCCTTTCTCCTGCTCTCAGGTTTCCTAGGGAGTAGGCAGGAAATTAGAGTCAAGGCCATGGACAGGCTCAGGGGGTTGAACGGTCTACTCCTGCTCCTAATTTTAAATTAATTTTATTCTTTCATAGGATATAGACGTCGCTCGCGAAATTAATATTTGTTGTCCGTCCTAATGGCCCTTGAACTAATTGGGCTGCCAAGCCATTACAGAAGTCTGTTAAGAGTCAACCATATTTTGGTCAGAGTGGAGTCACATGTAGGCCAGACCACATAAGGATGGCAATTTCTTTCCCTAAGAAAGGACATTAATGAACGAGATGGACTTTTATTGAAAAATCAGGTGCTTTCACGGTCACCATGACCAAAGTCAATCCTCAATTGCCAAAGCGGAATTTGAGGTCAAGCCTGTGGATTGCTAGTCCAGAAACATAACCATTCCTTTTGTCCACTAAACTAGCCGCTGCCCAGCCTACACCTTTGGCCATCGATCCTGCTTGTTGAGGCAAGGTGGAGAAACAACTTGCTAACTCTCTGGAACACTAAGCCTAAATTCAACAAGCTGAAGTGGCAAAAGCGAAAGCTTGAGGCTGATAAATAAAGTTGCAGTCTCTTACCATTACATGGAGCTTCTTCTTACTTAGCCACGAACCCTTCTGAATGTTCTTTGGATCGAAGCCAGACTTTTCTCTCAAAAATTTTGGCTTCAGATTGTAACCAGCGAAACCATTGTCCAGAAATTTCCCCTGGTTGACGTCCATCTCCTGCCCTGGGGTCTGGAAGTTTAGAGCCACTGCAGAGAAAGGGGGAAAATGTGGAAACGTTCGGTTACTCATCAATATCCTTTTTATTGTATGTAGCAACCCGTGCTAGACTGCGGTGACTCACCAATCTGACAGCCAGCATTCCACATGTCAATGGGATTGTAGTTGGAGGAATCCGTTCTCAGTCCTGCTGGGTAAATCCTACTCAGCTGTCGGGTGTTCAGTTCAATAAATGGCTTGGCTGTGGGAAAATACAGCTGGTTAATATTCAAATTTCATTCCTCAGAATAAGATCTTCCACAAGACAAGACCACTTTCAACTGCTTTAAATCAGTCCAAACCCATAGTGACAGCCTTAACTCAATGACTCTCAGTCTGAGGCAGATTGCCCTGGATTTGAGTGCCACTAAAAAGGGACCTGAGCACCCAGTGCAGGTTGCCATTCCAGTGCAATACTGAGGAAGTGCTGCATTGTTGCAAGTTCCATCTCTGCATGTGACATCAAAACCAAGGCCCAGTGTTTTGATGCAGTAACAAAGAGATAAGGGTAAAGTGGCTGATGTGGTATACACAAATTTCCAACAGGCATTGAATAAACTGCGTATGTCGGTAACAGGCTTGGCAGTAAAGTTAGACCCCCTTTAACTAGGGAGATATTAATACAATTCTAAATCAGTGAAGTATGAATGACATTAATACTTTTACTGACAACAGGTTTATTTATAGAATGACGTATTACACGCATGTGCTTCCTTCTGAGCAACCAGTAGTTTCTAAGTGCTCTAGGTATTTAATTAAACAGCAAACAATACAACTAGCAACAAAAACAAAGTTGCTGGAAAAGCTCAGCAGGTCTGGCAGCATCTGTGGAGGAGAAAACAGAGTTAACGTTTCGGGTCCGGTGACCCTTCCTCAGAATACAATTAGCACACCATTATGAAACAGTAGCAACACGATATGAAATTGTCTGGCTGGCAGGGAAATGACAGCAGTCCTGATCATTTGTGTTTTTTTGGGATTGGAGGGCGGTTTATTGTGGGATTTCTCAGGAATCTGTTTTAGAACTCTATCTTCCTGATCTCTAATAATGAACTAGACCTGGGGCGTAAAAAGAGTACAATTTCAAAATTTACAGATGACAGAATTTTGAGGAGTACAGGCTGATGAAATAGGCAGACGAAGTTTTAATGCAATGAAGTGCAAAGTGATTCATTTTCGTACGAAGAACCAGGACAGGTGATATAACAAAGGGTACAATACTAAAGTGGAACAGAGGAGGGTATACAGTCTGTACACAAATCATTGACAGGGCAGGACAGATTGAAAGTGGTTAATAAAGATATGAGATTCTCAGCTTTATAAATATTGGAATAGAGTTCAAAAATAAGGCTGTTATGCTTATCCTGGATAAAATTCTTGGATAGCTTTGTCAATACAGTGTGGAGCTGGAGGAACACAGGAGGTCAGGCAATATCAGAGGAGCAGGAAAGTCGACATTTTGGGTCAGGACTCTTCATCATGACCTCCAGCTCCGCACTGTATCGACTTTGATTTCCAGCATCTGCAGTTCTTACTATCTCCTGTTTAGCTTCAAGTGCTGGCAACTTTTTCACACCGAGGATGGTGCATGAGCTTTCAGAGGAAGCAGTTAAAGCGGGTATAATTATAACATTTAAAAAGGCATCTGGATGGGTATATGAATAGGAAGGGTTGAAGAGGGACATGGGCCAAATACTGGTAAATGGGACTGGATACATTTAGGATATTGGGTCAGCATGGATGAGTCGGACCAAAGGGTCTGTTTCCATGCTGTACATCTCTATGACTCTATGCTGCATTGTGTCCAATTCTGGGAGCCAAACTTGGAAGGATGAATCTAGCCTTACCAGAGGGTGCAGAAACGGTTCCAAGGATGAGGAACCTCAGTTATGTTGACAGATTGGAGGAGTCGGGGTTATTTTCCTTAAAAACAAACAAGGAAAGGCGAGTGCAAAGTGCTCCAAATCAAAGGCTATTAAAAGAGTAGATAGATAGAAACTACAGTTGAGAAAGAGAGGGCACAGAATTAAGACGAATGGCAAAAAAAAAAGGACCAGAAGCAACAAGGGTTTTTTTTTAAAAAATGCAGTGGGTGGTTAGGATCTGGAATGCATGATCAAGAATTGCGGTGGACCAAGTTCAATTGAAGCTTTCAATAGGGAATTGAAGGGAAAATTTGCAGAGCTACAGAGAAGAGGCACAGGTGTAGGACGAACTGAGTTACTTTTGCTGAACTGGCACAGACATAAGGCAAACGGCATTTTTCTGTTCTGCAACCATTCTATGTCTGCCCTCTCAGGTGGGTGTAGAAGATACCAGGGTCACTGGTTTTTCCTTTTAAAAACAGAGGAACAGAGGAAGCTCCCCAAAATAGTCTGGCCAAATTCCAATCAAATGGGCAGATTGAGATAACAAGGTGTAGAGCTGGATGAACACAGCAGGCCAAGCAGCATCAGAGGAGCAGGAAGGCTGACGTTTCGGGCCTTGTTATCTCAGATTCTCCAGCATCTGCAGTTCCTACTATCTCTGAAACAAATGGGCAGATTATCTGGTTATTATTTCATTGCTATTTAAAGGTGTTTGCTTTGTACAGACTGCATTTTCACAAGCCACTTTGGAGGTCACATTGAAGTCATGAAAGAATCTGCATAATTGCAAGTCATTTTTGTAATCTTATCCTGTGACAGGGTTACATGCCAATCTCTGTTAGAAGAACACTAATGATAGCAGATCTGAAATTTTCAGAAGACCAGCCTTGAGTAAAGACTGTAAACGGGTGCATGGTAGGCTGTAAATCTCCAGAATTTTGAAGAATGGGACATGGGTGTCACTCAAACGTATAACATTCTTAAAGTGCCTGACAGGGTAGATACTGAGGGGCTGTGTGTGATGCCTGGGGAATCCGTGTCAGAATAAGGGGAAGGGGTGGCATTGTAGCAATATCACTGGTCTTGCAATCCAGGGGCCTGAGTAAGTGGGTTCAAATCCCAACACGGCAGTGATGAAATCTGAATTGATTAGAAGCTAGTCTAATGGCAACTGTTGTCAATATTAAATTTACAATATCCTTTAGGAAAGAAAATCTGCTGGCCTACATGCAATTCCAGTCCCACAGACAGGTGGTTGACTCTTAAATTGTCCTCTCGAATGAAAACCACTCAGTTCAAGGGCAATCAGGAATGGGCAACAAATGTTGGGCTTGTCAGTAACACCCACATTCCATGCAAGAATAAAAGAATGAGAGCACAGCTAATTATGACTAATCGGAGGAGAAATTTCTTCACCTGGTATAAAACGTCATGGTTTGCTTGCATCAGGTCTGATTATGCTGGTCTTATCACAAATCCTTCCACATTGCTTAATTGTTTAAGCCTATAGATGGAGCTAGAGAGTGTAGTGACTGACTTTACAGAGTGAGTAGAACTCACTGCAAAGATCCTACAAAAAAAACACACGCGGGAAACTTCTGTAAAGCTTATTTACAGAGCTTTAAACATCTATGTCATTTGGATTTGGAGCTAGAGAGTTATCTTTGCATTACTCCAAGGTGAAACAGGTAGATAAGAAATACAGCTATTAACTCAAAACACTAACATAACAAGATTATGACCAGATACAACAGACAGGGTTGTGAATCTTTGGGATTCCCTATTAACAAGAATTGGAGATGCAGAGAGTATATTCAAGGTTGAGATCAATGGATTTTTTGGGAATGAATGGAATCAAGGGATAAGAGGATATTGTGAGGTGGTGAAAAAAAAAATCAGGTAGATCAGCCATGACAGAGTAGGCTTGAAGGGCCAAATACTATCTCTTGTGTTTGACTTACCCGTTTCTTGTACCAGTTTATTGAACTTGTTTTCTACAAAGGATGACATCTCGTAGAAAACCTGATTTTCTACAGCATCTTCAAATCCATTGAAGTGGACACTCTTGCAGTAGATGACCATGTCTGAGAGTTCTTTGGCCAACTTTATCTTCCCACTCTGCAGTAAAGAGGCATTTAGCCACAAGAGAATTAGAGGTGTAGGTTGACTTAGAAACAGCAGTTTGGCATACTCTGAGCTTGGCAAGGTGGATGAATGCTACCTTGGCTGGCATCAAGTCAGAAGGAAAACTACCAGCCTTAATCCCATGCCCCACATCACAGTTAGTTGGACTACATGGAGCCCTATAACACCCCAAGATATGTAACGTGTTTTTTATAACCCCCAAGCTAAGAAGTACAGCAGAAACTGATAGAACAAACTTTCAAAAGAGAATTGGATACATTCGCGAAAAGAGAAAATGTACAGGAATATGGAAAATGAGTGGTGAGGGGGACGGCTGGGTGAAATAGCTCTTTTAATGTGCTAGCACAGGCTTGAAGGCCCAAATGGACCTTTTGTGCCTCATCACGCTATGACTTTTCAATCTAGAACAAAGGTGTAGAGGAAATACTGAATCATGGATTAAACCGCACAATTACATGACAAAGACAAGTCAGTAAAAACTGATATTGGGCACGTCTGAGGCTGGTTAGAGGGAAAAATGTTTCACATGGAAATGTTGGTTAATATCGAAGGTTGAATATTGCTGAGTAAGCAAACTCTCAGGAGTCAAAGAATGAATTAGCACTGTGATGGGAGGGGCATGATGGGTTTCCAGGATAGGATAAATAGTCAGCCTTCTTCCTTGGAAGGGAAAAACTTTCCCTTGTAGCTACTCATCTTGAAAATGTGTTTAATTATTGAGTAGTTCTTGCTATAATATTCCCATCAAACACTCCCAGAAAGCGTACAGCGTGAGTTCAGATACAGAGCAAAGCTCTCTCTACTTTGTTCCAACAATGCATCTAATACCCATCGTGGAAAGATGCCACCTTACTCTCGTAATAGCGACAGGCCAAATCTTTTCCTCAAGCAGATACTCATTCTGCTTTAATGTCCTGAATTGTGGGTCTCTGCAACTGAGCGCCCTCATTATTCCAGACAGGTACTGCCTTCTCACTGCCATTTCCTCTCACAAGCCTCCAGCAGAGTCAATGGAATGAAATGAGGGAAAGTGGGAGGGACAGAGGGAGAAAAGCACCAACAGAACAAGTAGGTGCGGCAGGGGATGCCTGAGGGGGTGGGACGGAAGGAGTTAAGAAGGGAGGTGTGAATGGAGGTGGCAGGACAGGGAGGGAGGGAGAGGGAAGAAAGCAGGACAAGCAAGATCAGAGCAAGTGGAGAGAGATTGGCGGGGGGTGGGGTGTGAAGGGGATGAGGGTTTGAAGGAAGGAGGGAATGGAGAATAAAATGGAGTGAAGGAGAGGGATGATGGAAAAGATGAGGAAGGAATGAAAGAAGGTAAGATAAGGAGGAGTGAAGGACAGGGTGTATGGGGTGGGGAGTGGAGGTAAAAGGAAAAGGAGGCACAGGAAGAGGTGCAAACTTCACTTGCAAGATTACCCACCTTTTTTACTTCCTTTTGCTCGTTTGCACTGTCTTGTTCAGCGGCTTCATCCTCATCGGAAACCTCATCGTTTGAATCTGCCTCCTGGGCAGCTTCCAGGCGATTCAGCCTCTTGCCTTTCACCAGAATCTTCCCCATCAGTTGCTGCATGTCATTCATCAGAATCAATTAATGAACATGTACAATCAGCTTATGGTGAATTCATCATCCTCCTCCCATCCAAAACACAAACGCTGGCTCATTCCCACTCGGACAATCACCTCCCAGCTGCCCAGCCTTGGCAACTCCTCACACAGTGGGTTAGAGTCTCGAATGACAACACACAACCCGAAGGTGGGAGCAAAGGACCAAGGTGCTGAACACAGTAACTCCAGGTCTACCCAGAATGTAGTAAGCTGAAACACAACATATGCTCCCAGTCTTTGAGATAGAGATCAAAATCTCATTTGCCTTTTTGAGTATTTTCAGTCCTGTTCATGGATTTTTAAAGATCTACCTGGACTCTTTGTACCTACACTGTTTCTATTACTTCAACATTTATAAAGTATCCTGTTCTGTCTCTCATAGAATGAGATTACACATGCAGTACAGCATTTGAATGCAAGAAATAGGAGCAACAGCAACACACTGCCTATCAAGCCCACACCATTATTCAACTCCATCATGGCTGATCCAAGGCCTCAGCTCGTCATTCCGTCCCTTACCTGAGGTGAGGGAAAGTTGGCCGGGACCTTGCCGTCGATTGTCTTGGTGAGCAGCATGTCGCCAAGGATGCTTTTCATGTGCTGAGCCATGGCAACTTGTTGCTCTATGCTGCAGTGATTCTCCAGAGACAGGATGACAGGATAAGGAGAGGTCTGGAAAACAAACACACCAGTACATTACTCCATCAGACAGGCATCAGGAGATTACAGCCTTGGTTCAGACATGGACAAAAACAAAGAGCTGAATTCCAGAGGGAAGATGACAGCCCTTGACAACCAGGCTGCATTCGACCCAATGTGGCATCATGGATCCCCAATCAAAAAAAAACTGGAATCAGGGGGACAAATTCTCTGCTGGTTGGAGTCATACTTGGCACATAAGATGGTTGTGAGTATTGAAGGTCAGTCATCTTCAGGATATCTCTGCGCGAGTTCCTCAGGGTAGTGTCCTGGGCCAAACCGTCTCGAAGTCAGAAGTGGGGATGTTTGCCAACGATGCTGAGCATTGTGCAATCATTCACGACTCCTCAATACTGAAACAGTCCACATTCAAATGCAACAAGATGTGGATAACATCCAGGCTTGGGCTGACAACTGCAAGTAACGTTCACACAAATGCCAGGCAACGACCATCTTCACTATGAGACAATCTAACTACTGCCCCTCGGGATTCAGTGTTACCATCACCAAATCTCCCACAATCAACATCCTGGGGGTTATCATTGATCAGAAACTCAACTGGACACATCACATTAACACAGTGGCTACAAGAGCAGGTCAGAGGCTAGGAATACTGTGATGAATAACTCACCTCCTGACTCCCCAGAGCATGTCCACCATCCACCAGGCATAAGTCAGGAGTGTGATGGAATACTCCCCACTTGCCTGGATGGGTGCAGCTCTAACAACACTCAAGAAGCTTAACACCGTGCAGGCCAAAGTAGGTCACTTGATTGGCACCACACCCACAAACATCCACTCCGTTCACCACCGATGCTCAGTAGCAAACAGTGTGTATCATCTGCAAGATGCACTGCAGAAATTCACCCAAAATCCTTCGACGGCACCTTCCAAATCCATGACCAGCTCTATCTAGAAGGACAGAAGCAGCAGATATAGGAGAACACCACCACCTGCAAGTTCCTCTCCAAGCCACTCACCATCCTGACTTGGGAATATATTGCCATTCCTTCGCTGTTGCTAGGTCAACATCCTGGAATTCCCTCCCCAAGGGCATTGTGGGTCAACCCACAGCCAGTGGACTGCAGCAGTTCAAGAATACAGCTCACCACCACCTTCTCAAGGGGCAACTAGGGATGGGCAAGTATTGCTGGCCAGCCAGCGACGCCCACATCCCACAAATGAATAATACAAAAGAGGTTCTAGACAATGAGGAGATCTTGATGGAGCCCATTAATTTGAAAAAACTGATTTGACTGTTATTACCAGAAAGAATCTGAAGATTTCATGTTTTAAACAAAATATTTTACCATGCAATCATTAGACAAAGCAAGTACTACTAGCTTTACACTTATGTTTTATAAGCCCTTACTATTTTCCCCAGAAATCTCCCCATTCCACTTATCTTTCCATCCAAGTTTTCTTTTATTTGTTCATGGGACGAGCATGTTGCTGGCTATACTAGCATTTATTACCTATCCCAGGAGGGCAGTTAAGGAGTCGACCATATTGCTGTGGGTCTGGAGTCACATGCAGGCCAGACAGGTGTGGATGGAAGTTTCGTTCCCTAAAGGACATTAGTGAACCAGATGGTTTTGACAATGGACAATGGTTTCATGGTCATCATTAGACTTTGAATTCCAGATGTTTTGTTTCTTTAACAAAAAATTGAGTTCACAGTGGTCCACTATGTGACTCACTAGTCCACTATGATTTCCAGAATCTTCCAGGGTTTCTTCAGTTGTCCAAAGACTGAACCAAGAGTGCATAATAGCTCAGAGGACTGCACTCTGACTCCCCCAATTTTCCCCACTTTGGCTCTTTGACTGTGAAGCTATTACAGGTTTTGTGAAAATCCATTTAATCTGTTGGAAATCTCACCTCATCTGGCCTTTACATGACTCCAAACCCACAACAATGTGGATGACTCTCAACTAAGGCCTAGTAAGCTACTCAGTTCCAAGAATTACAATTGGGCAATGCATGCTGGCTTTCAACACCCAGATCCCAAAGAATAATTAAAAAAAAGTTCTTTAACAGAGCGTGGCAAGAAGTCGGAACTTGCTGCAACAGGAAGTGGTGAAGGAAATAGCTGAGATATTTTCCAAAGGAAATTAGATGAGTTACATGAGAGGAAATTTATATTTATCTCATGCTTTCAATGTAATAAAGATCCACGGAACTTCGCAGCAGCCTTAACAAATACAATTAGACAACAAACCATACAAGGAGACAGTAGGGCTGATAGCCAAAAAGCTTGGCCAAAGAACTTCATTTTGGGGGAGTGTCTTAAGGAGGAAAGTGACGATGTGAAGCAGGAAGATTTAGGAAGGGGATTTTGGTGCTTGTCTCAAGTAGTTGGAGGCACAAGTACCAATGGGACAGCAATTAAAAATCAGAGATGCTCAAGAGGCCAGAACCAGATATTCATAGGTAGGGATCAGAGAGATGGGGAGAGTTGAGGCCACGGATGGGCTTGAAAACAAGAATAAGAATTTAAAATTGAGACATCGCTCGAATAGGAGCCAATGTGGGTCAGTGTCTGTGGGGTGGGAAGAGAGGGTGTGGTCTAGGACACCAGCCAGGAGTGTGTTGGAATACTGAAGTCTAAAAGTAACAAAAAGATTAATGAGTCAAGATTTTTTTTTGGAGTAGGGGAGCGGAATGGCGTGTTGTTACAGAGATAGAAATAAGTGAGGTCTTAGTGATGGAGCAGATTGCAGTCAGAATTTCAGGATGTGGGCATTGCTGGCTACAACATGAATTATTGCCCATCCCAAAAGGCAGTTAAGAGTCAACGATATTGCTGTGGATCTGGAGTCACATGCAGGCTAGATCCGACGTGAATGGCAGTTTCCTTCCCCAAAGAAGATCACTGAACCAGATGGCTCTACTCCACCACCCCAAACAATCAATGGTTTCACAGTCATCATCAGATCTTAATTCCAGGATTTTTTTTATCAATTTCAAATTTCACTATCTACCAAGGCAGGATTTGAAGCTGGGTCCCCAGAACATTACCTGGACCTCTCGATTTACAACAATTGGTGATGGTTTCACGGTCAATTTATGACTGCAAGACTAATAAGATTAATAAAGTCTGGTGATAGTACCACTGGGGCATTGCCTCCGCCTCTTCATTGCCTATACATTCTGTTGGGAGGTCCTGACATGAATGGTGCTACATAAATTCAACACTTTCTTCCTTTTGCTCCAAGCACAAGCTGTTACTGTTGTTGTTCATTCTTATAGTCACAATCAATTGCTAGACACAACAGGTCAGATTTAACCCTCAGTGCCACTCAATTCAATCTTACATACAGGGCCTCAAGTTTCAACAAATGAACGGGAACTGAAGGCTCAACAGAATCCTGTGAACACTGGCTTACCTTAAAGGCATATTGCTTTACTGCTTGGATGACGTCCTTGAAGAGGATTTTTGAGGTGAGAGTGTAGCCGTGATAAATGACTGGTTCTCCATCTCGTCCATCCCAGCAGTCCAACTCCACACAGCGGCAGCCTTTATTTAGGGCACTGCGGGCAAGATAACATAAGCTTAGCTTCTTGTGGCATCGCAGCATTGAAAAAAGCCAATTCAGCCCAGGAGTATTTAAATTCTTTGTTAAATGTTATTATTTCTACTACTTTTTGAAAAGGCCAGTCTTACAGTCATAAATTGACTGCGAAACCATCACCAGTTGTTGTAAAAACCCAACTGATTCACTAATGTCCTTTAGGGAAGGAAATCTGCTAGCGTTACGTGGTCTGCCCTACATCTGACTCCAGACCCACTACAATGTGCCCAACTCAAGTGCCTTCAAATAGCTCAGCAAACCATTCAGTTCAAGGGCAATTAGGGATGGGCAACAAATGCAGATCTTGCCATCAAGGCCCACTTCCCGTGAAATAAACGGAAAAGCTTTCATGCAGCCTATTCCAGATTATCACAACTCATAGAACATAGAACGGTACAGGCCCTTTGGCCCATGATGATGTGCCGACCTATTAACCTACTCAGATCAAACTACCCTACATACCCTACATTTTACTATCCTCCATGTGCCTATCCAAGAGTCGCTTAAAAGTCTCTAAAGTATCTGACTCTACTACCACTGCCAGCAGTGCATTCCACATGCCCACCGCTCTCTGTGTAAAGAACCTACCTCTGACATCTCCCCTGTACCTTTCTCCAATCACCTTAAAATTATGCCCCCTCATAATAGTCATTTCTGCCCTGGGAAAAAGTCTCTGACTATCCACTCTATCTATGCCTCTCATCATCTTATACACTTCTTAAAACTTTTTTTTTTAAACATTTTAGAAATATTTATTATTAGGTGTTACTGTATCACCAGTTGATAATTCACAACAGGGTACATTACTTTGGCTCTGAATCAATTGTTTTACCAAAAAAAAAATATGAATTTGGAAAGCTTGTATGCATGATAAACGTTGTTGCATGTAGCGTTTTTACTGTAAAATCATGAAAATCATGTCTTAGTTTGCAGATTAAAGATTAATCGCTGTGAAAAAACAGTTTTCCCCCAATTCCTGCCTGGTTCTTTTATTAATTACATTAAATCTATCTTCAGATTGCAGAGGCTCCTGTCAGTAGAAAGTTGCCCTTTATTTATTTCACAAGTGCATCACATAAATTTAAACAATTCTATTACCTCCTGTTGACTTTCCCAGCTTGAAGGAGATTGGCACTAGCTGTTCTAGAGTCTCTCACCTCTTAATATTCTGGTAAATTCCTGCTGCACCCTTTCCAAGGGCTTAGCATCCTTGGTAGAATGAGGATGCCAGAACTGAACTCAATACTTCTGCTGGGTTGAACCAATTACAAAAAAGTGAGGCATTTGTGCTGAACTTGGTCCAGTTTTTTCATCAAGCGAGGGAAGAAACGGACAGCATAAGATGGTAAAATAGATCAGGTCTGCATGTTTGCAGCGGACTAGCAGGGAATTTGGGGGATGTGGAGGAAGGGCATGTGTGTTCATTGAAAGTGTATAAACACACCAATTAAATGTGGGAGTACATCCAGCCCCTCTGTCTACCACCATTCAGCAGGATCATTGCTGATCTGATTATGGCCTCACTTCCTTGTTTCATACTGACCCTCACACAACTCAACTCAGATGTCAGACACCAGGATATCATGCTGCCTTGTTTTCACACACAAAAAAAGCCATAAGGCAAGCGGGAGGAACACTTGCCTGGATAGCTGGTAGCCCCCTTAGGTCAATCTTCCCCTCAAACTGCAGGGCAGAATATTACCTCTCCCCACAACAATAATGAACTTTGGGCTAATCACAACCATCCAGCTCTATCAATATTGCCAAAGCTTTTCATATTGCACTCATCAGGACAAAATGCAAGAATGCCAAATTTCAAATCACCATTTTTACCATAGGAGAAAAGGATGCTGATCAATTGGGCAAGGTGACTCTGATTGGCTGTGCTGTTGTCATGGAGAGCGCACCCAGGTAATTGACAAAAAAAGGAAGAAGGCTAGAACATGTTTGATGTTGGATGGGTAGTGGGCAGTCTCTTCCCTCTCCCTTCCACACCCACAAACCCCACTTACTCCATGTTGTCAAAGACACACATGTGCTAATATCAGCAAAGACAGCCTTTTGCAGGCTTCAGTACCTGATGTAGGCCTCAACGCTGCTGGGTCCTTCAAGCTGGTCTTTTGTCAGGTAGGTGTTGTGGGAGGACGAGATATAATATTGATTGAGTGGTTTTGACATGTCGTGGTGAACTTTGTTGTGGTCCTGGTTGAAAATGTCAGCAGCTGGTGACATCAGATAGCACATAAAACCATCCTTGGTCATGATGGAATCAGACCTTGCTGATGACAAAACAAATGGAGTCATTATTAACATCCAAATATGTTCCCTATCAAACTCAAAAAGATGATGGAAAATAGAGATAACAAGGTGTAGAGCTGGATGAACGCAGCAGGCCAAGCAGCATCAGAGGAGCAGGAAAGCTGACGTTTCGTGCCTGGACCCTTCTTAATTTCTGAAAGAAGGGTCCAGGGCCGAAACCTGAGCTTTCCTGCTCC